AGCTGAAGTTCTTTGAAATTGTGCTTGGTTCTGTTACAGCAACTGAAGGAGTCAGGTTAAGGCTTAACCAGTTACAGGTTTATTAAAAAGGCTTATAAAGCATGTGGTTACAATGGCTATTGCTCTACTTCTTAACAGCTAGCAAAATAGATCTTAAAATGGTTACAAAGGAAAAAGAATAGAAAATAATGGTACCAAGTGACAGCTTAATCTTTAAAGAGCTCTAACACTGTATATACTTAAAGGACATATACAGGTACAATTTTTACCCCCTTCTGTGCCTCTTGACTCCAGCGGGTCAGGCCAGGGCCGGTCCCTCAAGCCTCTCGACTCCAGCGGGTCAGGCCAGGGCCGGTCCCTCAATTCCTAGGAAAGACGAATACAAGGTGGGCGTCCCCATGGAACCTTGGGAGGTTAAACACCAAACCCGACCAGCAGATAGGTGGTAGATTGACACTCAAAGTGAGTGTGCTGCTGGACCCATCTTTATACCCCTAGGGGCCCGTATCCTCTTTCTTATCTAAGATGCCAAATTGTACTGGTCCGTTTTGTGGCGCCAGTTCTTACAAGGGAGTTTCAAATAATTTACACTTGTAAGAGAGAGAGAGAGATGGCTAAATTAGGAGTACCGGACATTCTTTGCTGGGCGGGAGATTCCTCCCCCCTGGACGAGTGTGTGATCGTATCAATATGGGTTTCAGTCAAGGGCACTCCTCGGCAGCCTCTTAGTCAGCAATTGACATATCTGTTTACAGCCATTCAGGGTTGGGTGAATGAGCATATCTGAGCCTCCTGCTCCAAGGCTTTCAAAGACCATGCTGTTTTATTACTCTGTGTGCTCTGCATGCTTTCAAGCAAGCAAAGATGGATGTTACAGTCGGGGAGGAGGGTTCATGTCTGGCTAAAACATGTTGTTTCAAAATATTTTTTTGTCTAAGGCACACATTGGCCACATTTGGAAGACAAGATTCTGAGAGAGATGGACCTTTGGTCTGACCCAGTGTGGCTGTTCTTATAGGTATTAATTATAAAAATCAGATCGGTCTCATCAGAAGTTGTGCTTTTTGATAGATTGTGTAATACTCCTTGGAATGCTACTGGTAGCATATCCTTAGCTAAGAATGTGCTATGTATGAAGGAATCTGACTGTGTATTTAAAAACCAAAACCAACAAATTCGAACAATGCTTTTCATTGACATTACTTATGTATGTACAGTGCACAATAAGGCTATGTTCTCTAGGCACTACTGTATTACAAATAATAATTCAGCACTTTTTAATTGAGGACATCAGAGCACTTATAAATACTGCCTAGTATGCCAGTGGAAAGATAGAAGTCTTAGATTTAGTGATCTATCAAAATTTTTTATTTTTAAGTAGTTGTAATAAAAAAATTAAGTGTTAAGTTCGATAGCCAGGAGTAAAAATATCATTTTATGTGATCTTATTTAAAATCCTGATTATCTATTATAGGGATTATCTTAATTTGCCTGTTTAAAAAAAAAACCAAACAAATAAAACCCACACATTGATGATATATTATAAACCATTAGTGAGTGAAAATCAATGTCTATTTTTCTGTTGAGCATGAAAACTTTCCCTTTCAAGCCTGATGCAATCTTCACAGATGCAGAGTTGTTGGAAAGATGTGTAAAATTCCAGCTGATGCATAAATGTTATGCACTTAAATTGGAATTTCTAGCCATGTCAAAAATTGATATAATTTAGCAAGAAATTAAAAGCTTACTGGATGCTTTATGAAAACCATTTTGAAGAAACTAATACTTAAGTCTGTTATTGGTCACCTACAGATCTATTTCTCTTGGTGGCATATTCCCACCTAAACCCTAACACGTACTATCAAATGGCACAACAGTTAGCATTGCAGCGAATGTTATAGAAATCCTGGTGAAATCCTTGTATACCAGCTGATTTAGCATAGTGAGCACAATATCTATGACCCATAAGGTTGTAAGATGTATTCCAACTCTTCTGCTGTGACTGGCCTCGCTAGGCTACAGATTGACAGTCAGGCAGGTTACCCATAAGTCACCCACAGAGGGTAAGTCTAGACTACAGGGTTTTGTTGACAGAAGTTTTGTCGACAGATACTGTCGACAAAGCTTCTGTCGACAAAGAGCGTCTAGACTACATTCAGTTCTGTCGACAAAGCAAGCTGCTTTGTCGACAAAACCCGGTAGTCTAGACACAACCCTACATGCAATAACACCTTCTGTCGACAGAACTCTGTCGACAGAAGGCGTTATGCCTCGTAAAATGAGGTTTACCAGCGTCGACAAAACTCAGTGGTAGTGTAGACGCAGGTATAGTTTTGTCGACAAAACTCTGTAGTCTAGACACACCCAGAAAGACAGACCCAACGAAGAAAGCAATAGAACATCACTAGTCATTACCTACAAGCCCCAGCTAAAACATCTCCTACACCTCATCAAGGATCTACAACGTGTCATAGATGTCGATCCCTCACTCTCTGACCTTGGGAGCAGTGTTCCCTGTAAGGCCTCAGGTAGAGTTTCACAGGTGATCAATCAGGCCCACCCAGTCAGTCAGGGCTGTTCGTGGAGCCCTGAGCCTCTGACTGGGTGTGTCTGATGAATCACCTGTGAGGGTGTGCTGCCCTGCAGCTTAGAGGGAACACTGCTTGGGACACAGGCCAGTCCTTGCTTTGTCTCCAGCTGGAGATGACCTACTCATTACCAACTTCACACACCCACAACAGAAACACTAACCTAGGAATCAAGCCCTGCAAGAATTTCCATTTTCAATTCTGTCCACATATCTACCCTACTGACATCATCACAGGCCCCATCAGCTCGGCTATATCATAAAGGGCTCGTTCACAGCATATATTAGTTGATGCACACATCATATGCCATCAGTGCCCCCATAGGTGTCTGATTGCCTAGGCGGGGGAAGCCATACCTACACTCAGCCCCCAGAACATCTATTTAAGGTGGCAGATTTCTATCAGTAACTCATTCCATACCTAGAATACATATGCAAGCATTCACAAAGAATTAACAGCAATAGCAATAAAAGATTGACTACAAGCAGAGCTGTGACTTATTTTTTCAGTAGAACTACTTGTAATGGAGATGAGTTTTCTAGATTTTGTGGAAAACTTTTTTAATTCAAGAGAGCTTCAAATGAAACTTGTAAATTTGATATATACATATTTGAATTGGATAGCTAATAGGGTTTTATTTTAAAATCCTTGCTGATAATTCAGTAAATTTTTTTACTTAATTTTTGTGCTCATGAAAGTATGGGATCGGTAGTACTAGCTAACCTCTGCAAGATATTGATCCATTCTCCCAGTGTGTCTCATTGACCGTGACTGGCACTTAGTTCTTTGTGAGAGGAATATTTTGAAAATCTCTGACCATCTTATGGTTGCTAGGAGAAATTGTGGTGCAGTATTATCTGATCATATTGTTCTGGTGGCTGATTATTTGTATTTGCCTCTAATAGCTGTTTTTTTGCAACAACCTAAAAATGTATTTTGAAAAAAACTTCGGGTTGTTAATATCTGCACCGTGGAACTTGATGCCCTTAAGTCTTCTCTGAATTCCCATGTGTGGGGAGAGGATGGTGCCTCCTGAAGTTGTTACAGAATCTCTATCAAAGCCTTGCTCACTGGAGCTGCACTAATGTGTCTTAGGATATCAGCAGTTGACATTTACTATTTTACATTAGTATGTTCTCTATCTACCTCAGTTCCTTCTCTCCTGCAATAAGGAACATTAGGAACCTTGCTACCTCTGCTTAGTAAATATTAGCTCCCTGTTTCTTAGTCTGGTTTTAGTTTCACTTGTCTGGAGAAAGAAGAGCCCTTTGTAGACTCAGGGTGCTCAGAGCAGCCTAAGGCATGAAGCCAAATTCTGCTTGCTCATTCACTTACTGAGTACCAGCCATCATGCACTGTTGAATTCATTTGGGCAAGGCCACTCCCTTTGATAATGAACCTGAAGAGGAACTTTGTCAGAATCTCAGCCCACACCACTTCATCTGAATAGTTAGTGGGATTCTTTAGAGAGCCCTAAGAGTTGGGCTTGATCTGGCTTGTCAGACTGCCTTTCCTGCAGATGACATCAGCATGGTCCCTGCACATGGTCCCAGTGACTTGGCTTCCACCACCACAATTTTCACTTCTACTGGCAGTGACCCCCTATCCAACCAGTAGCTTCACCTTCAACTCCAGCATTGCTGATGCACCCGTCAGTTCCAGTACTTGCTTCATTAGCCTTACTAGGATTGTTGTTTCTGAAAGATGACAGTGATATTCCTATTAATGGGTCACCAGCAGATGAAGACACTTGCCCTTCAATAGCTTCCCCACTGAGCAGAATGGCATGCACATTTCAGTAAGATGCTGCTGAACACTCTCCAACCTGTAGTCAGCCAAGTGAAGACAGGAGGTGGCAACAGGGCCAGGCAACGATTTGCTATGTCGACCTTATGGCTAGAAATAGTCTCAAGTAGCATAATAGGGCTGCTCTGACTTGGGCCACTCCCCCTGAACTGAGCTGCCTCTTAAGAGTGAAAGCACAAATATTATTTTATACCCACGTACACATTCCTCTAGCAAATTTCTAAAATATAAAATATGCAAGAATATTCTGCCCAAACCACCAATCTCAACGTCCCCATACCATAATGCATTAACACCAACACAGGAACTCCCAAGTTACCCAGCGCACCAAGCAGGACTACCTTCATAGAAACATTAATAGAGAGGTAGCCGTGTTAGTCTGATCTTGCTAAAACAAACGGAAAAACTAACACGGCTACCTCTCTATTAATGTTTCTATGAAGGTAGTCCTGCTTGGTGCGCTGGGTAACTTGGGAGTTCCTGTGTTGGTGTTAATGCATTATGGTATGGGGACGTTGAGATTGGTGGTTTGGGTGCTATGGGTATGTTAGTTTTGTACATGTGTCTTGCTATTTTGATCTGTAAATCCCTTTCCTTGGGCAATAGGATGATGAAAACAATAACCCGTCTTCACAAGGCCATGATGTTAATAGAGTACTTTACAAGCAATTCTTGGATTTGGAACACTGAGAATGTCAATATGCTAATGAATCAGCTAAGTCTTGAAGACAAAAAGGCAAGTAATCTGTGTAACTTACTGTTATTTTAAGGTTATAAAATAAGTGAATCTGTTTACCTAAGACAAGTAAATGAAAGTTTAAAATATATAATGCTTCTTTGTGATCCATTTGGTCCAACTATGGGGGGGGAGGGGGGGAGTCCAAACTGGTAACAGGAAGCTTTTGATTTATTTTATTTTATTTTATTTTATTTTATTTTTTACACTATGAATAAGACGTGTGTTTTCAGAGATCATTTCAGCTATCTATACTTTGCCCTTAGTGTGGTATGGTATAATATGGATAAAACTTTTAAAAAATACGTTCAAATTAACTATCAGCATAACTTCAGGTTCTTAAATGGAGTGGACATGAGCAATCTCTTGAAGAGGAGTGTGCTGCATGCATGTTGGTTGGAAAGTTGGGTTTTTTTCCTACTTGGTGATACCTGTTGAGCTGGCAGGAGTGGCGTGCCTGTATATCATGACATACATACTGGATAGACTTGCGGTTGAAAATCCTCCCTATGGTGTCTGCCCTCCAACCTCAATCTGTCTCGAATTCAACACCAGCCTCTTGTGCCCCAGGATCAGTGTGGCAACCTTCAAAGGCAGTGCAGCTCTCCACAGCACTGAGATCTGGCACCAGTAGTTGGCACCACTCCCATTCCCAGTGCTACAAAGGAAGAGGAGGACAGAGGAAGATGGCAGTCTCAGCACAAACCTAGAGTGTGTTCTCAGACGGGATACTCTAAGGTGCCCTACCCACCACTGTGTTCACGCACTCCAATGACAGCTAGGTGTCAGTTGTGTTCGGTGCGAGCAGTCAGCCCTGACTTAGAGGAGATAATGGTGGAAGAGGTGGATCAAGCATGGGTTGGGGATGTCCCAGTAGGAAGAAGCAGCCCCTCTCCATAGGATGTGGAGCAGCCTCTGCTGGCCTGAGCCTGTCCTGCTGCGGGCAGAGGCTGCTTTGCAGCAGTCTCCCCTCTCTCTCCCCTGCGCGCCCCCCTCCCCAGCGTTGCTGCCTCTGATAGAGGTAACAACGTGGAGGCAGGGCAGGTGGCACTGAAGACGGTGCTGGGGGGAACTAGCTTTTAAGATACAGAGGCAGCAAGAGGGGGAGGAAATGCGACACGACTACTCACTTACATCCCTAGTCCTGAATCCACTGTCCTAAGTCATGTACCTCCCACCTAACCTGAGCCTCCCACATCTCCCAGTCCTCTGCCCCAAGCTACCTACCCCCTGCTACTCCTCACCCGAACTCTTACTCCAGCCTTTATTTGCCTTTGTTTTTGAAAAATACAGTTACTGAAATACATGTATGTTTTCGTTTATTTAAAAAAAAAAAAATCCTTCAGTTTACAGACCCAAGCAACAGTGGGCAAATCTGCTAAGATATAGTTTATATAAATCTGAGTTTGGAAAAAGCCTGTTTTCTAATATAGATTAGAATAAGCATTGATGTGGGTGAATGCCATACCTGAGCTTTACAAAAATAGTTTTCAGACAAAAATAAATCCACATCCACTTTGTTTCCGTAAAAACATCTTGAAATCTGCTAACAATAAAAGCACAATTTTGCTTCTGGGGTCAGAGTCTTTAATAAAAAAAAACAAACAAACCAGGAGTCATTCTTCTATGGTAATTTCAATCTTCTTCCAAAACACGAAAATGTTTGAGAAGCAGCTCTGAGCTCTGTTAGAGAGAGCAGATTCTTGTTTACTCATTTCTTATAAAGTACATAAGTGACAGGAACAAAGAGAGCAGGGTTTTAGAGCTGGATTGGTCTTTTTAAAGGATTACTTTTTATAGCAGTAGTAAGATTCTTGAATCTAATCAGTGCAGTTAAGATGAAATTTTAATTGTTTTGTATCTCTTATTACACCATTGTCTTTCTTTAATGAGAGTCTGGGCCTTTGTGTTCTCACTAATGTGATTACATACCCCTTAGACTGCAGAAGAAGCCAGACATAACTGGTTCTTTCCCAGAAGTAAAATTGTGGCATAACCTAGCCTAGTCTTCACCACTGATGGGGGGGGGGAATACCAAGTTTCTTTTCTTCCTGAGTTCTCAAGTGTTTTTCAAACAGTATGAAAGATGTTGGAATCCTCCTTTGGACAGTGATGTATCAATTTTCTTGTGTTATGAGATTATGTAATGATTTTTCTTTAATATTTTAACCATTAGTTTCTTTTTTATGTAGGTGTTTAATATTGATGTTCGACAGTTACACTGGGCAGAATACATGGAGAACTACTGTATGGGAACTAAGAAGTATGTATTGAATGAGGAAATGTCTGGCCTCCCTGCAGCTAGGAAACACTTGAAGAAGTAGGTTTACATTTCAGTTATTACTTAATATATTATATTTCTGTCTATTGTTTTCCTGTCCTTACCCACTTTAGTTCCTTTTGCTCTATGGCTTCATTCTTTATTTATTCGATTCCTTCCTGACAGACAGTGATAAATCCATTGTTATCAGAGTTCATTGTAGTGCATGGGAAGACTTTTGTATTCCTTCACTTTGGAATAGAGTAGAGCCACTCTCTCAGTTGGTTCTGCTGTCATCTGAGTCCTTCTGCTGTTACCCCTCTTCTCTCCCTCCTATCCTCACCCCCCCATCCTGATCCTTTCCTCCACCCCAATACAGTGGGCAATGCAGGCTGCCATGAGAACTGTTCTGTCAGTATTAAGAAAGAAAAGTCTACCTCCGGCTGAAGCAATGTTAAACTTCCTTTCTGAAAGTTTGGTCTCCAGAAGTTTGGGTTCTAGAGTGTCCTTTTTTTCAGGTCTAGTGTTCTGTTGAGACTAAGAGCCAGTTCAGCCATTTACAGCCGCCAGTTCTTCTTCGAGGAATGTCCCTGTGGGTGTTCCATCTTAGATCTTTGGGAGGTTGCTATGTGGGGAAATTTAAAGTGGCAATTCCCTACTGTAGGCTGCACGTGCGAGGCAGATGGCACGCACAGTGCTGCTACCACGCATGAGCAGCCAACCATCCCTTCAGTCCCTTTTCTGCCACCACCAGTGTCAGCTGGAACTGCAGTTGCGCTCTGATTTCTTTCTAAAGCACTTGGAAATTTTGAAAAATTTCCTTAATCTCCTAGTTAGTTAGCATTACAGTTCTTTTTAGTTAATAGTTAGTTTTTTCTTCTAATTCCTTAAAAAAAAAAAATCTTTCTACCTGTTATATGGCTACCTTTTTAGGCCTCACAGACTCTTACTATCTGGGATGCCTGATTCAAACTTTGCCTCTCCTGCAGCCTATCTATCCCCACCTCTGATGGTCATTCCCAGGGTGTGCACTGTTTGGGTCAGGCACATACTACTGCACAGTGCAGACAGTTAATGGCTTGCACACAGAAGGCACGGGAGCTTCAACTGAAACTTCTTTCACATGAGAAAATGGTGAGAACTGCCTCAGACCCAAAGCACTCCTCTCCTTCGTGCCAGCCATCCCCCTTGGCCATGTCTGAAAGGGCTGTGTCTGCCAGCTCTACCTCAAGAGACTCTTCCTCCGAGCAGTCTATAACGAGATCTTATTTGTTGGGGAAAGGTGACTCCCTCAGACTAAGACGACCGCTCGTGCGCCGTTGGTACCAAAAGCATTGGTACCAAAGAAATGGGTACCCAAACCACCACCGCAGGCACTGGTGATTGGGCAGCCACAACCAGCAGTACAGACACCAACAAAGTTGGTACCAACTGCATGCACCAAGGTTTCCCCAGTACCTGTGACATTGAAGTCATATGAAGAAGCAGTGCCGCAGTGGATACAATCCTCCATGCTGATGGTAGAAGGAAGGCTGGTACTAAGACCGCTCACCACACATCAGGAATTAGTGATTGCATCAATACCAGGCACAGTTATTCAGCACTAATGCCATTCCAACATCAGAGTGCCCAAGCAGGCTTGTAATGCCCACAAGTTTGGTATCTCAGTTTTCGAGTGACAGCAAGAGATTCCCTTCTCACCATGCCACTCTTCTCCAAAACTGCCCTCTCAGCTGCAACAGCAGATGGTCCAGACTCAGTTGTGGCAGCCCTTTCCATGGCTCCCTTCCATCCCACTCATACAGCCTGGCAGGGATGGGGTCCTTGGAGCACCATGAAGGCTCAGGTACCACCTCCAGTGGTAGCGAGACTACAGCCAGTGGCACCTAATCCACCTGGATCCACAAGGTCAGAGGTGACAGGATGACATGGAGGATGTGGATGAAACACAGGAGGAGGCTACACTACCTGCATCTCACATCATCATCATCGTCCCCAGATGAATCCATAATGTCCCCATCTCCTACCATGGGCAATAACTTAGCCACTCTCTTATACACGTCTTGGAAAGACTAATTCCCTCAACATATCACTAGTTGAGGTACCGAACATCCAGTGCAAGTTGACAAACATATTGCAAGCTTCACCCTCAGCGAAAATAGCCCTACCAGTCAATGAGGACTCGACCCATTAAAACTTTTGTGGCAAACACCAGCCTCCATCTCACCCACATCGAGAAGGGCAGACAGGAAATATTACATCTCAGCAAAAGGGGCTGAGTTCTTGTTTACACACCCCAGCCTGAATTTGCTGGTAGTCTGGTGCAGTCAATATACCTTGTATGATAAGAACTGGAAGAGACTTGATCTCCTAGGGAGAAAATCTTATTCTTCAGCATCCTTACTCATCTGGGTAGCAAATGAGTTTACTGGCCAAATACACTTAAAATCACTTTGAAAGAATGAGACCCTTTATTGAAAAACTGCAAAAGGGCAACAAGGCCACACTTAAGTCAAGGATAGATGAGGGTATCCTTATAGCAAAGACAGCGCTGCAGGCATCCCTCTATATGACCAAAACCACTTCCAGATCTCTTGCCACATCAGTAGTGAGGTGTTGCGTTGCCCGGCTTCACCTCTCTGGGTTCCCTAATTAGGTACAGAACACAGTTGAGGACCGCCCCTTTGAAGGTCAGAAGTTGTTTTGTGTCACCCACAGAGACATCACTACATTCCCGTAAGGACTCAAGAGCCACATTAAAAACACTGGGGATGTATGTTCCACAACCAAAGAAAATGAACCACCTGTACACACCTCGTGGCAGGGCATTGTCATCCTCATCCTACCCCTCTCAGAGGGGCTATGACCTAAGATGTAGCAGAGGTAGCAAAACGCAGACCACCTCGAACAATAGACTGTGCCCCAGTCCTCTGACGGCAGACCAATATCTTGAACCGTTGATCAAGGATTCGACATAGAATGTATTGGTTGGCTGGCGGAAACTCTTCAACCATTCTACCATGCATGGTCCTCTGTGACAATGAACAAATAGACTCTAAAGGTCATAGCAAAAGACTCACAATACCATTCCTCACATCTTCCCCCTCCCCCATCCCCTTCCCTATTCCTTTTCTCAGACCCCTATCACAAGTCCCTGCTACAATAGGAGACAGACTACTTCAAATGGGGGCAATAGAGATTGTACCAGCACATCATAGGGGAAAGGGGTTCTACTCCAGATACTTCCTCATGCTGGAAAAGTCGGGAGGATGGAGGCCCATACTGGACCTGTGCAGACTGAACAAATAAAAAAAGGTAACGCTGACAAAGATAATTCCTGCACTGGAAAAAGGAAAGTGGATATTGTCCCTCAGCCTGCAGGATGCATACTTTCACAATATGAACCTTCTCATAGAAAGTTCCTGAGATTCACCCTAAGAGATCAACATTACTTACCATTTGGTCTATTGGGAGCACCCAGCATTTTGTTTAAGTTTCTCACAGTAGCAGTGGCCCACTTAAGAAAATCAGGCATAGCAATCTTCCCTTACTTACCTGAAAGTGGCTTCAACAGAATAAGTGGCCAAACAATTCACCAAGGACACAATCCAACTCTTTAACGTTGGGGCTTCAAATAAACACTCAAGTCAAACCTCATACCATCTTAGAAGGTGGACTTCATAGATGCCACTCTGGGCTGCATACAAGCACAGGTGCAGCTACCTTGGCAAAGATTCTATGCACTAGTTGCACTAGCAAAAAAATTATAAACTGCCCCACAGTATTTGCCAGGCAGTGCCTACTCTTACTCAGCCATATGTCAGCAACCACATACATAGTTCCCCATGCCAGGTTGCACATGCAGACTCTGCAGGTTTGGCTACACACATGCTTTTGGCCTTGCAGGCACCTGTTGCACAAGAAGCCCAGCCATGCAAGCAAGGTCAGGGAATCCCTCACATGGTGGCTATATGACAACGATATCTGCTCGGGTGTCCTGTTCCAACAGCCAACCCTGTCTATTCATGTAACGACAGATGCTTCCCTGGAGGGCTGGGGGGAGCACACACTTTGGGAGTGTGTTGGTCTCCTTGGGAGACACAGTATGCAGGGAAGATGATCTCCCAAAGAGACCAACCTACACATCAATGTGCTTGAGTTACAAGTGGTAAGAAAAGCATGCAAGTACTTTCTTCCCTTAATTCAGGGTGAAGTAGCAAGAATATACACAGACCGCACATTTTATGTTCTAAATAAATCGGCAAGGCAGAGTCAGATCATATCTTTGCAATGAGGCCTCAGTACTGTGGTGATGTATACTCCATCAGATCCACATATCAGCGGTATATCTTCCAGGCAAACAAAACATCGCTGTGGACGAACTGAGTTGCATATTTCACCAAAAACACGAGTGGGAGATACACCCCGCAAGCCCTACATACCTTCTTCCTCAGGTGTGGATTTGCAGAAATGGACTTATTTGCCACATCACTCAACACCAAGTGCCCCAGGTATAGTTCCAGTGCAGGTCTAGGCAAGGGCTTCATGGGAGATGCCATGCTGAACAACTGGTGTCTCAACCTTCTGTATGCTTTTCTGCCTCTTCCCCTCCTTGGCAAGGTTGTACACAAGATAAAACTCAAGGGCCAAGGTAATATGATAGCGCCTGCATGGCCCGGGCAGACCTAATTCCCTTGCCTCTTGCAAATGTCAGTTGCTCCTCCGATTCCTCTTCTATGATGGCTGGACATATATCAGGACCAGGGCGAGTTCTTTATCCAGAAGTGCACAAGCTCCATCTTACAGTATGGGTCCTTCATGCTTGATATCTCATCTTTTCGGACGAGGTACAAAGGATAATTCTCAACTGTTGTAAACAGAGGACAAGAAAGACTTGCTTTAATAAATGGTGACACTTCTGAGTGAGCCAACCACAGAGCACTTCAGCCTTGATCAGTGCAACTGGTGATGATCTTAGAATACATCATTGCAAGTCAACATAGTGGCTATATCAAGCGAGCATGATATACTGGAGGACCAAACTATATTTTCACACCCAA